AAAATCGCGTGAGTCGTATCTTGAACTCTTCCTAAGCCAAGTTGTCCCAGCTTGGCTTAGTCCGCTGATCAATCTTTTTTCCCATACCTTATTAGAACTGAGCATGAATATGAATGTATGTGAATAGAATACAAATTAAAATCATTCTATGCCACCTTTCACTGTAAACACTGACTGAAAAGATGGTGGGTATCTTGGCAATCAACTGGAAATTGTTTAAAAAATATTCTTTTTTTTTTTTTTTTTTTTACCAAAACAGCCAAGATGCAACACTGTCTTTCTGAGTACGCAAATTGTTGCTTTTTACTCGATCCGTATTTCACAAAAATAATAATTATTCTGAAGGCGAACTCATATTTTAGCCTGGATCGCCGCTGTGCACATCACTGTCAAACGAATTCTATTCATCCAAGCAATCTTTCTTTAGCAACCAGGTAAAACGATCAATTTACTTATATTTAATACTTCATGACCGAAAACCACAGCCGGTCACGTACAAACTTACCTCCAGATAAGCTGTGGTAGCAGCGACTCCGCCGGCAGCGATATAGTAGTTTCCCATTCGTCTACCGCCAGGATTTTCTGTAAAACCCACTGCACACCAACCGACTGCTTTACAAGTCATGTTGAAGAGCAGCTTGTTGTTGCTATAGGTCCAATGTAACATGAAATTTCCGTCACTAGAACTAAACGTAGCGTAATTCACTGCATGAACTAAATGGAAAGAACAAGGAAACAAGATAAGCACAAAAAATGCGTAGTCCTTAAGGAACGCCATCGAAACAACCCTGGCTTCGGATGAAATTCCCTGCAATTGTAAGCGCGATAAAATGGCGCATTGGTAATGGAATCAAATTTGACTGAATAATTTCCTTATCCAAAATTTACTTTATTTGAAACGTAAGCATTTTCGCATTCAAGATCATTATCTTAAGTGGTAACTATTGTTTAATCATTTGCCTAGTCATGAACTGATAGGTTTTTTTTTTTAAGTAACCGTCGATTTAGATATTGGACCTCTGTAGTTTTACACTCTAATTTCATTGTTCTCTTTTGTTTTAGTATTGTTTTATTTGGCACGACTAGTTAGATTTTGTTTCACCGGTCACCTTTTTTGTGACGGTCAAATTTACGACAAACAGCTATGACAATTTCTACCACATGAACAATTTTGCCAGGACCTCGAGTTAATGTCCTCATTAGCGAGAGTCCGTAATATAGGGAGTTTACTTTAATTAGCCAAACGTGTGCAAATTGTTTTTGCCTGGGATTTAGCTTCTGTCCGTATTATCGGAGTGTCCGCAAGGCGAGAGTTGACTCTATGGGAACCCGATAATCAGTGGTTTCTGGTCGGCTTCCGTGCTGACGTCATCCAGTGTGGAGTCACGGACCAGTCAACATACGAGTGAATTGAACGGTTTGCCTCCTATGATCATGTAGCCTGTGCCAGGCTCTCAGATAGTATAGTGGAAACGTATTAAAACGAGCAAAGCGAAAATAACACGCGCACGACTTGGGAAAAGGGGCAGTGGCCGCCCTGTCTCTCCCCAGCCCCCGCGCGTTTTTCGAATTTCTTTTTACTGAACGACTTTCCACCACCATCTCGGAGCCTGGAACAGGCTAATGATCATGGTGCACTCATGTACGAGAAGAGAGGGTTACCCTGGTGCTAAGGCAACTTTGTCCCCAGCTCTTTTCCCTTAAAAAATGGGTAAAAGCACTGGGGACGAGGTTGTGTAACGGTCCAAAATTTGAAATAATCTTGAAGTTCTCTGTGGAAAACACTTTAAATTCGCGAAAAAAGGGAAAATATTATCATCATAGACAGAACATAACTTTTTATTTTTCATAAGTTTATAATTAAGCTCAGAAATTGGATAATACCGTTCAAATTGGCACGATTACTGGTCACGCATGACGGCGGAAAGTTGACCCGGGCAGGTGAGTTATCTCTAGATGAACGTTTACAAGGCAGGTATGGTAACCCTCCTGCTAGGGTAACCCTAGCACTCAGGTAGGGTTACCCTAGCGCTAGGGTAACCCTACCTGCCTTGTAAACACGTCGTGTGAAAAAAGAAGAAATATGCGATTCGCTAGCACAAGGGTTACCTTCCCTCCTAGTAAACAGGTCCTTATTTATCGGGGACTGTAAGTTATTAATGGCTGGGGGGGGTTTTAGAGGGGGAGGTAAAATTATCAAATTAGTGGAACTGTTGGAGCGTGTTTCAAATACAGTAGAATTTTTTGGGGGTGTTACTTTTAGGGTAATAATGTTTCAACTCTTGTGTTACCGCTTGCACAGATGTGTTAAACGCTATTTCCTCCACTGGTACCGAAGAATCTGGTTCAGCAATTAGTCTGTTCACAGACCCTCTATTTTCTTTTCAGAGATCATCGAACGCACGTTTTCGAATAAAAACCGCAGGGGACTGTTATGGAGTATAGATTAACTCGAGTGCTGTCGAATTTTTAAAAAGAATAAAAAATCTGTGTAGAGGTGTAGGTCTCAGTATTCGAAAGCCGGAAGAAAGTGCGAGGTACTGTACGATTTACAATATGTGACTTTTTTTATTCTGTTCTTAACAATAGCTTCCCAACAACACACAACTAACAACATTTCTGGTATATTGTGTCGTAATAGTCCACTCCGCTTTATTTGGAGACCAAACTGAGCCTACTAAACGAAATTGTGAAAAATACACCACAGAATACATCAACGGAAATTAACGGAGTTTTGGATGAGGATGCCTATATATACCGAGCCAGGACTCGAGTCAGGACTCGAGCCAGGATTTCGAGCCTTTCACTTTTCCGCCATTTTCACCTCCTGCAGGTCACATGACCATTAAGAGGACGGTTAGGGTTAGAGGTTAGGGTTAGGTTAGGGTTAGGAAGTTGCGAGTTAGGTTAGAAGACCTTTTTGTTGCTTATATTTTACTCCTGTTTATTTGTTTATTAATTACTTTTACTTATTTATTTTTTTGCTTACAGAAGTCCTGGCTCGAGTCCAGGCTCGAAGTCCTGGCTCGAGTCCAAGCTGCAGTCCTGGCTCGAATACTAGCTTTGATGTTAGTTTATCTCGTTTTGGATATTATTTTTACGTATCTACAAGAGACACTCGGAAGCCGGGAAAAACCCCTACAAAAGACCCGCGAGGAGGGCGGGAAAAATAGGGAAACCTGGGTAGGAACCAAGCCCAAAACCTCCACGACCTTCGAAACTACAAGGCCAAAAAAATAATAATAAAAGAAAAATATAAAATTAAACTTTCACGCAGAAAAGAAGCGTAACGACTGGGGTTGACTCGCATACCAAACAGCCTATATTTACACCAAAATAATAGTCTTGCTAATTCCACTCTGCACGTATTAAACGTCACAATTGCTTTCAGAAATACTTAGTGCCATAATCATTTAAAGTATCTCACAAGTAATCAACAGCTAAAATAATAGGGAACAGAAGTCAATTTTCTTCTAATGCCACACAACCGAAGAGAATTTACAAATCCCGTTAGCCCATGCAATTTGATATAGAAATCAGCGCGGTCAATTGCTTGCGCGGGGTCTCGGATTATGCAAGAGATCTAGAGAGATTATTCCCTCTTAGTTTCTGTGTTTCAATATTGTAGCTAGTGCGTACGCATTTTGCCTTCACAAACAGCTTCCTTGTTGACAGCTGTATTTAATATGGTGAGGATCTCAGATTGATCGCATTGAACTGTGAACGTGTGAAACGGTATTCTATTTGAAACTATCAAAAAATTTTAATAACCTCAA